TTGTTGAACTGGTTACTCAATTACTTTTTCTAAATTGATTTCAGATGTATTCTCTCGATCGACCACCTGACGAACTGCCATTACACATTGTCTACTATTTGGGAGTGTAAATATATGTTTTTATAGTAGTTGATGTTTACTTGTTCTAAGTATAAACGAACGCCCCTACACACACTAAAATACATCACAATTGCAACACTTTAAAACATTCTAAGATTAATTAGGCCTAGAATATTAACTAACACCCGGTATATTGAAGAATTTTGCAAACCAAAAATAATACTCTTAGAATGCATAGGAAAATAGCTGAAAGTTAAATGAAATCAATATAAACAGTATTTCGCTTTGTGTGCAAAATGGACAAAATTAATACTCCAAATATATGCCAAGGCTTAAAGTAGCAACAACGCTACACATGTAAGTAAAAATATTTAAGTATCTGAACAAAGAATTCTAGTCTCTTCCCATAATTGATTGTCCTGACTAATCACCTGTTAGGCCTAATTAATCTTAGAATGTTTCAAAGTGTTGCAATTGTGATGTATTTTAGTGTGTGATATGATGAAGCTGTTGACGAACTGTGATTGTTTTTTAAATTAATGATTTTTTTTCAACTATCTGTTGTTTCAGAGAAACTGATGATGGTGGAAAACACCGAAACGTATTCTAATTGATAAATAGACAATAAATGACTGAAGCCCAGGATTGAAGCACAGTCAGGAAAGTATTTACGGTGTTATTAATCAATTGCAAAAACTGTTAAACTCCCTTACTCACCCACATTCCGGGAAACAATCTCAAAAGGATTCGTGTAGGTGTCATGCTGGCTCTCCAACAGAACATTAATGTATTTCTCCATGAAGCTGATCAAGTTCTCCACACTTTCGCCGGTCAGTTCCTTGATTCGGTCCCAATGAGCCGCATATTTCACAGCGAGAACTACGTTGATCGAATGCACCAGATTGCTGATGTAATCCTTGTCCTGGCTGTGAGTCAAATTGAGCCCGTGCACTCGCGACTCATAGTGGAGGAGCTCTTTGATCAAGTCGTAGGAGACCAAAACGTCGGCCCCGTAAAGCTCTTTGGTGGCGTTTGTGGCCCTGTTGAGGTCGTGCGTGAGCTTGATAGCCACGAAGGAGTTCAGCGACAGCTCGCCAGTCTCGATTTTTGATAGCTGGATACATGAGTTTACGTGTAAGAAGTGAATAACTAAAGAAGCAAATCAATCAGTTTTTATATTGACACACTGTTAAGGGCTGAACCTAAAGAGAAATATTTAATTCCAGTTTTTTCGGTACAGTTTGCAATGTTTGAAAGAAATTAATACTTCGCCCAGGTAAACGTAAAAACACTAAGCCAGTGACGGCGAGCTAACACATGCGTTTCTGAGGATTTCTAGGAAATTTGCAAGATAGGTAGATATTAAGGGTGGGAAGTTTTCAAATTGACACCCGGTATAAATTTTGGAACCGAAATAAACCGGAAATTGCAAGTGTTAAATACTTCACCATCCGCGATTTCACACAAGAGGACATAACAGTCGCTTTTAGGCCTGGGTAACACTGTGTTGAGTTGCGCTATTGAGTTGTTGCCGCTCTCTGAGTTAACGGGTTATAACTCATCGTTTAATAAGTTACAATTCATTTTTTCTGAGTAAGGTTTTACTACTTTGTTCAAACAACTAAAAAAAGTCGTCTAGATTTTTCCTGCAACAGAACTGAGTCCAAAGAAAGTCGACGAATTTTCTTGTAAAATCAATCTTTTAATTTTTTGCATAAAAGATTCAGTTTGTCAGTATTTTACAGTAAACCGTTAGGAAAAACGCAGTTTTTCTGTTTAGAGACAGCGTTGTTTCGAAATATTGACCTAAAAGTGAAGAAACTCCAGTTTCCAAGAGTTTTTCCAAATCAATGATTATAAACTTTCGCTTTTTCAGTTCGGGGAAATATTTTTCGAAAAACACCTAGAAATAATTATGAGGGTTTTGTCCATAATTCGACGCTGCAAAAAGTTTCCGAACATTTTTGCAAAACGCTAAAGGAGGCGAGTGTTCTAATAAAAGTTATCTTATAATTGTTCACAGAAAACACCTAAATATTGTCGGTATTTTAGGTAAAACTAAAAAAATAATGCGATTTTTAGCGTTTTCGATCAAAAACTTTAAGTTTTCTGATCGGTTTTGCAGAAAACCTTAATGAGTTTGGGGGAAAACGGGAGGAATTCATTTTCGCTTTTGTCCCGAATTCGACGGTGAAAAAGTTTTTGTAAAATCTTTACGAAGCTATAAATTTATCTTGGAATTTTTCGCGCAAAAGTCCTCCAGATCGTCATCCTCCAGCATTTTTAAGTGAAACTTAAAAAATTTTGAAAGAAATAGAGCGTTTTTGAGCAGAAAGTAAAGCAAAAAAAAGTCGGTCAAAACTAAAAACCCACAACTTTTAAACGAACTCTTACAGTCTTCAGTGGTATGGAGGTGACGAGATTTCCAAATAATCTGTTATAAACTTTCGCTTATTCTGTTCGTTTTTTGATAGAAAATTACTTGATTTTTGCTCCAAATTCGAAGCAGGAAAGGGATTTCAGACCTTTTACAAAGCGACGAAGGATTCGAAATTTATTTCATAATTTTTCCCGGAAAAAACCTTAAGACTTTCAGCATTTTTAAGCTAAACTTCATAAAATGGTGCATTTAGAAGAAAATTATTAATAAATGACCATCAAAATAAATCCAAAACCAGTGAAAAGTCTGAAACAAACGGAACTGAATTACTGCGCTGGTGCGTTGGATTGGCGCACCAACCCGATTGCGTGGCACTGCGCAACTCCTAAAAATTCACTGCGTTACCCAGGCCTAGTCGCATCCCAAGAAGAGTTTTGGCACAAGTGGTATATATAAGTATAAGTAGCAAAGCTGGCCAATCACCCTGTGGAGGACTTTGAAAAAACCGAACCAAACAGACAGATGCCCGGTTTCTCAACATTTGCCCTGATTGGTTCCATAACTATGTAGTGGATAAAGTTATAAAGTTATGACCGATAAGATTTTATGGGTTTCCGAACGGTGACAGACAAAGTTATATCGAGCTCATAACAATCCGTTGGATAAGTACCTTTTTAATTCGACCG